GTCAGATGTACCGTCACACAACAAGCGCCGTTCACACTCGGGAAAAAGGTGTGTAGCCCCAAATCGGGTCCTGACTCGACTCGCAGCATCGATTTCAACTCACGCGACGCGCTCGGCCTCCGCTGGCGGCTGCCGCAAGAGCGGCTGGCTCACGACAGCGTCTCGCCGGTTGCCGGATAGGAGAGTACAGGACGTCTGGAGTGTAACTGTGTACGTGAGATTGGTATTGATAACAAGCACGGTCGATCCGTCAAAGCGATACACTCGTTCCTATCTCGCTGGAGGGCTGGCATGGAGCTCTGTGCCGGCACACAGCAAGAGCCGTGCGGCAAGAAGAGCTCGATGGGGAGCGAGAACTGCCAGAGGTGCTCACCCAGGTTTCGGAAGTCCACCCTGATGCGGTCAGTTCCCCCCAGGTTTGACCGCGCAGCTCGCAAGACTCGTCGAGCACTCGCAGCCTTTCTGCGCCTCTCATGCTGCCGCTCTGCGGGAAGTTCCCCCCACGAGCGGCGAAGGAGTGCTCCGCTGGGTCACGCCACGGGGGCCCGCCGCCTCAGTTGCGACTTTCGGATGCGGTAGGGCTTGCACGAGCGCCTGTTCAGTCTACGCTAGACCGAACTGGGGGCGGGGCCTGCTATATAAAATTGAGGTTGGGTAGGTATCGTCGTTGTGGCGGGCCACTCTGCCCTTGGAGCACTTGGAGTGCAGTCAGCAACCGCACATCCAGGGCCGGGGAGCTCAGAAGCGCACCCAGCGGGCCGGATGATTGGCATCGGGTTGCGGGCAAGAGAGCCCTAGCTAGCCCCGGCGCTGCCACTTCCTCTTTTTCCGAGCCAGCGCGCTGAGAGCCTCGAGAGCAGCGGCGCGCTGGAACTGATGGCCGCGTCGTCAAAGAGGAAGGTGACGTATTTCCACGATGCCGACACGATGGGCTCCTACTACTACGGCCCGGGCCATCCGATGAAGCCGCACCGGCTGGCGATGACGCATAACCTCATCCTCTCGTACCACCTCTACCGGAAGATGGAGGTGTGCCGGCCGCACCTCGCCACCGACGAGGAGATGCTCCAGTTCCACGCCGCGGAGTACGTCGACTTTCTGCGGCGAGTGACGCCGGACAACCAGCCCGACTTCTCGAAGCAGCTGCAGCGCTTCACCGTCGGCGACGACTGCCCCGTCTTTGACGGCCTGTACGACTACTGCCGCCTGT